GTTGACCTTTTTTCGTGCTGGCCGTCCACGGAGTCTCGTTGTTGCTGTCCTTTTCCTTCGTTAGCTGCTGTGCTCGTCCAGGAGCGTCCTGATGCCTTTTTCCTCGGGGTAGGTTGTAAACTACACGTCGTGGTTTTATCGGCTAACAGACAGGATCTCAGCAGGTTGATCGAAATGTGCTCCCGTTAATTTCGTCAGGATAGCACCAAGTTATGATTGACCTCGGTTCTTCTACTTGATAGTCTTGCTTGGCTACGAAGTTTTCTCGAATTCCGGGTCTCTAACTTTCTTTCACTTAATATTAATTAACAGCAATCAGCTCAATTATAGTAAAAATTTCCGCACTTTTACACACAAACAATCCCGCCGCTGCCACCAATTGTTACGAGCGTATAGCTACGTAATAGATTATTTAGAATAAGTCGGGACACGTTTGTGGAAAAAGTCTTTATTCGGTGTTGCTGGTTTGAGCTTTGATCGAGAACTGAACTGGCGAGAATGATCTTCGTTTAAGGTGCTGTAGGAAAATCGTAGCGGCGGAATGTTTATTGGAAGGAAGCGGTTTTGTCAAAAGGAAAATATGCGTTAGGCATAGGGACAGCGTTTATGTTTATTGCAGTCATCGAAGGGTCATGTGTTTAGGATCAAGAAGGAGTAAAGATAAAAAAGGTTCAAAGGTTCGAATAAAAAAGAGTAATATAAGAAACTATAAGTTGCGGCACGTAACAACGCGCGAGACCAAAAAGCGCGGGATGATCGCATCAGTACTGATCACGTGATGTCACAATGGAGACGCGAGCAACACGCAACCGTAGTGGCGATAACGCACACGAGCGAAAACCGCATACGTGTGAGCTCGGCGCTTCGGCTAGCTTTGGGATAGTAGAAGAGGACAGATATACTGTTTTCTGTCCCCTTCTTAATAATGTTATGATGTCGACAAATTGTCGACAAAATGTAATTCAAAAAATGCAACGGTAATATTCGGTAAATATTCTGCAACATGTGTAAAACGTTAGATATCATGCGTGTCATCAGTTTGCCGTCATGTTGCCATCACGATGCGAGTTCATCGCGTGCCGTCAGTTTGCTGTCAACATGACGTGTTATTAATCCTCAACGTGTGCTCTTAAAATTTCATAAACTGATGATGTCTATTTGTCCTCATGTTGCTAACTCAATTGCACGTTAGATTCTGATGTCAGCAAATTGATGGCAACTTCACAGCAACCCGTGCAGTGCATTAGTTTGCCTAATATGCTAAATCACGCTTGGCTATCTGAGTATAAACCGAAAGGGTTTCTATTCGTTAAACATCCAGGTGGTTTGTGATGCTGAACGACGTATACTGGACATTGTTGCTCGATGGAGAGGCAGTGCCCATGATGCGCGTATATGGAATTCATGTTCTCTCAAGGACGAATTCGAGGTAATAATTTTGTTAAGTATAATTATATATATTTAGATATAGAGAAGGGGATTGTTTCATCCATAAAATACATTTTAATATTTATGCTGTGATTGATTATATAAAGCTATGATAATTATTTTAAGTTGTCCAAAATTATTTATTCTGTGATTTCAATTATAGCATTAATATTAAAAAGTGATAAATGTATTTCACATTAAAACCACTTTTTTCATTTATAAGTAATTAATATAATTATTATATTTACATATACATTTATATATAATATAATATATGCTGATAAATTTACAGGCAGGTAGAATACGAGGTATTTTGCTTGGGGATTCCGGGTACTCTTGTAAGCCATACCTCTTAACATCAATTTTAAATCCTCGTAATCCTTGTGAAGAACGTTACAACGCATCTCATATACGGACCCGGACCATCGTGGAGCGCTGCTTTGGTGAATGGAAGGACATGTTTCGCGCCTTGCGAAATGGAATGCAGATCTCCCTTCGTACAGCAAAGACAGCCATCATAGCGATGGCTGTCTTACATAACATCAGAAAAAATTTTCATGATAACAATCCGTATGGTATGTTATATGTTACATATATATATATATGCTTTAGTAATAATTATGTGATAAGAATGATGATATTAAAATATATGAATTATTTTATTTTTTAGACGCGGAGTCAGATGAGGATATGGAAGATGAAAAAGATGATCCTGTTCTACTAAATTCCAAAGAATCAGTACAATCTGGTCACAATCTTTTTCGCCAAGAGTTCGTGCAACAATATTTCTCCTAATTGGAAAAGAGCTTTTCTTCTATTAAGGAAATCATTCTATTATTGTATAATTGTTTTGAATTTTGTATATTTGTGTTCTTGCGAAATGTTTAATGTTTATTATGTTTATTAGTGTTAATTATAGTTTATATAGTTAGTATTAATTATAATAATTTTATAGTTTTCATATAGTTTATAGTTAGCTGTTTATAGTTTATAGTTTCTAACTATATTTTTTCGCAAATTATATCGTTGTTGAAACTCCAAATTGTAAATTTTAAAAGCCTATTTTATATCTAAACATTTGCTGATCACGATATGTATTGCATTTACTTCAAATATAATATCCATGATGATATATGTTTATACATGTTTTAATTTAATTTCCTATCCTGTATTTATTTTTTATTTTTAATATTATATATTTAATTTTATTAATTTATTAAGTTTTATACAAAATAATTAATAAATTACTAAAACGGTAAAATATTATTTTTTTTAATTATTAAAAATGTAATAGTTTTTAAACACATACTATATATTTATCAAAAATATATGTAAATGTTATACTTATATATATATATATATATATATATATATATATATATATATATATAT